CCATCCCATTTCTGTCCCCACCCCATCCCCATCCCTGTCCCTGTCCCCACCCCTGTCCCCACCCCTGTCCCACCCCATCCCCTCACCAATGGGGTCTATCCAGATCCCCAGGTCCCCTGGGGACACTCCTGGGTCGATGCCATCCAGCTCCGTGTCCCCAAGTGTCACCTCCTGGTGCACGGCCTCTGCCAGCAGCTCGGCCGCCCTCGTGTGCTCGGGGCCCAGCACGGCCACCAGCAGGGCCACCGTGTCCCCCGGGGTGGCACCGACCCGCACTGTCACCGTGCCACCTGCCAGGACCCCAAATCACACAGGGACATGGCACAGGGACACCTGGGGTGGCACCGACCTGCACTGTCACCGTGCCACCTGCCAGGGACCCCAAATCACACAGGGACACCCGGGGTGGCACCGACCCGCACTGTCACCGTGCCACCTGCCAGGGACATGGCACAGGGACACCCAGGGTGGCACTGACCCACACTGTCACCGTGCCACCTGCCAGGGACATGGCACAGGGACACCCAGGGTGGCACTGACCCACACTGTCACCGTGCCACCTGCCAGGGACATGGCACAGGGACACCCGGGGTGGCACCGACCTGCACTGTCACCGTGCCACCTGCCAGGACCCCAAATCACACAGGGACACCCGGGGTGGCACTGACCCGCACTGTCACCGTGCCACCTGCCAGGACCCCAAATCACACAGGGACACCCGGGGTGGCACTGACCCGCACTGTCACCGTGCCACCTGCCAGGACCCCAAATCACACAGGGACATGGCACAGGGACACCTGGGGTGGCACTGACCCACACTGTCACCGTGCCACCTGCCAGGGACGTGGCACAGGGACACCCAACTCAGCCATGGGAATGTGGGGACATGGGGACATGGGGACATTGGGACTTGGGGACATTGGGACTTGGGGACTCCCTCCCTCCCTCCTCAGCCTTGTCCCCACATCCCCACGTGTGTTCCCTCTGTGTCCCCACCCCGCGGTTCCTACTCAGTCCCCACTGTCCCCACACTGTCCCCACACTGTCCCCCCTGTCCCCTCTGTCCCCTCCCTGTCCCTCTGTCCCCTTCCCTGTCCCCTCTGTCCCCGCTCACCGTGCGCGTCCCTGAACTCGCTGCTCTCCTCGCCGTGGATGTGACCCCGGAGCTCGGGGAACTGCGGCGACACCGGGGGTGGCTCAGGGGACAGCCCTGGAGGTGCCACCCCCCCCGGGCCACCCTCGGGCTGTCCCCACCTGTGTCCCCAGGTCGTGTTTGATGAGCTCCTGGATCAGGACATCCGCCAGGGTCTTGAAGTCGCGCTGGAAGCGGGGCGCTGCGCTCCGGGCCCGTCTTCTCGGCCACCAGGAGCCGGAACAGCGGCTCCTCCGCCCGGCAGCGCCGCGCCACCTCCGCCGCCTTCTGCGACACCGCCACCAGCGCCGGCAGCAGCCCCGCCATGGCCGCGACACCGCCGCGACACCCGCGACAGCCGCGACAGCCGCGACACCTGGCGGGGGCAGCCGCGGGGTCAGGGGCGCGCTCGGGAAGGGTCCGGAGTGACCCCGAATAATGGGGACAGGGGGACACTGGGGACATGGAGAGTGGGAGTTTGGGGACATTGGGATGTGGGACAGGGGGACATTGGGGACATGGAGAGTGGGTTTTGGGGACACGGGGATGTGGGGACAGGGGGACACTGGGGACATGGAGAGTGGGAGTTTGGGGACATTGGGATTTGGGGACAGGAGGACACTGGGGACATGGAGAGTGGGAGTTTGGGGACACAGGGATGTGGGGACAGGGGGGACATTGGGGACATGGACAGTGGAGTTTGGGGACATTGGGATGTGGGGACAGGGGGACACTGGGGACATGGAGAGTGGGAGTTTGGGGACACGGGGATGTGGGGACAGGGGGACATTGGGGACATGGAGAGTGGGATTTTAGGGACACAGGGATGTGGGGACAGGGGGGACACTGGGGACAGGAGAGTGGGAGTTTGGGGACGCGGGGATGTGGGGACAGGGGGACACTGGGGACATGGAGAGTGGGAGTTTGGGGACATTGGGATGTGGGGACATGGAGAGTGGGAGTTTGGGGACATTGGGATGTGAGGACGGGGACACTGGGGACATGGAGAGTGGGAGTTTGGGGACACGGGGATGTGGGGACAGGGGGACACTGGGGACATGGAGAGTGGGAGTTTGGGGACATTGGGATGTGGGGACATGGAGAGTGGGAGTTTGGGGACATTGGGATGTGGGGACAGGGGGACACTGGGGACATGGAGAGTGGGAGTTTGGGGACACGGGGATGTGGGGACAGGGGGACATTGGGGACATGGAGAGTGGGAGTTTGGGGACATTGGGATGTGGGGACAGGGGGACAGGAGGACATTGGGGACATGGAGAGTGGGAGTTTGGGGACACAGGGATGTGGGGACAGGGGGACACTGGGGACATGGAGAGTGGGAGTTTGGGGACACAGGGATGTGGGGACAGGGGGACATTGGGGACATGGAGAGTGGGAGTTTGGGGACACGGGGATGTGGGGACAGGGGGACACTGGGGACATGGACATTGGGGTTTTAGGGACACGGGGATGTGGGGACCTTGACATGGGGATGTGAGGACATGGGGACATGGGGACACAGGGGTCTGGGGCACAGGGGGACATGGACAGTGGGATTTTGGGGACACTGGGACGTGGGGATTTGGGGACAGCAGGATGTGGGGACACTGACATGCAGATGTGGGGACACGGGGGACACGGGGAACACGGGGAACACGGGGGACACGGGGGACACGGGGGACAGGGCGGTGATGCGCACGTGGGCACAAGGGGACACGGGGACAGGGTGCCACGGGGGTGTGGGGACATGGGGACATCATGGGGACACAAAGGCGGCCCCGGCGCTGTCCCCAAGTGTCCCCGCGGGGGGTGGCGCTGTCCCGCTCGGCCCGGGGGGGTCCCCGCTGTCCCCCCGGAAGGCTCAGAGCGACGCGGCCGCCCCGGAACGGACCCGAAACGGCCCCAATTCCCCCCCCCCCCCGCCACCCCCGCACCGGGACCCCCCCCCCCCCCCCAGGCCGCGTCCCCACCCCTGGGGACACCGCGGGGACCCCGGGGGACCCCGGGGGACCCTGGGCCCGGCCCCCGCCCGCGCCGCCGTTACCGGGGCCGCTGACAGCTCCAGCCCGGGGGCGGGGCCGGGGCCGCGTCACAGCCGCGCTTAACCCGCTCGGTGCCGGGGCCCCCGTGCCGGGGTCACAGCGGAGCGCGGGGACGCGGGCGGGGAGGGGACAAAGCCGGGATTGTGACAGCGGTGACACCGCGGCGGTGGCGGTGTCGGGGGTCCCGTGTCGCTGTCGCTGTCGCTGTCGCGTGTCCCCAAAGCGCCCCCGCTGCAGTTCCCGCCCCGGCCGCACGGGGGAGCGCTGCCCGCGGGGCTGCGGCACCGGCACCGACCCCGCCGGGACCGGGGGGGGCAACGGGGCCGCCCCCCCCCCAAAACCCAAAACCCAAACCCCAAAATCCAAACCCCAAAACCCAAAACCCAAACCCCAAAACCCAAAACCCACCGGGACCCCCCCCCAGAGCCCCCCGGTGGGATTTCCCCTCTCCATGGTTCTGATGGGGCGGGCACCGGGTAAACGGGGGGGGTCCCCGTTCACCCGGGGGGTCCCCACGGTGGTCGCAGGGCCGGGGTCCCCTCGTTCCTCCGCTGGCTCCTCCTGTGCCCCCGCCGAGCGTCCCCGCCTTGGGGGCGGGAGCCCCGTGAGCCCCGGGGGTCCCGGTGCGCCCCGGGCCGCGCTGGGATCTCCGTGTCCCCCATCATGGGGCGGTGCTCCCGCGGCGCTTCCCGGGGCCGGGATGCTCCACACCGGGCACCCTCGCCCCCCCTCTCCGAGTCTGAGCCCCCCCGGGGGTCTCCGAGCCCCCCAGTCCCAGCCGGGCACCCCCAGACCGAGCTCCACCTCTCCCGGTCCCTCCTGGGACCTCCGGGTGCTCCCGCAGCGCTTCCCGGTGCCGGGATGTTCCACACCGGGCACTTTTGCACCCCCTCCCCAGAATTTCAGCCTCTCCGGGGGTCTCCGAGCCCCCCAAGCCCCGGTCGGGCACCCCCAGACCGGGCTCCGCCGCTCCCGGTCCCTCCTGGGACCTCCGGGTGCTCCCGCAGCGCTTCCCGGTGCCGGGATGCTCCACACCGGGCACTTTTACCCGGTCCCCATCCCCTGGAGCCCCCCGGGGTTCCCCGAGCCCCCCAACCCCCGGTCGAGCACCCCCAGACCGGGCTCCACCTCTCCCGCTCCCTCCCGGGCGCTCCGGTGGCGGAGCCCGTGCCCGGTTCCAGCGGGGCCGGCCCGGGGGGGCTCGGGGGCTGCCGGGGCTCTCGGGGGGCAGCCCGGGGCTCTCGGGGGGGCCGCACTTGCCGGGCTCGCGTCCATCCCCGCCGCGCTCGCCGGGGCCGCCCCCCCCGATCCCGAGCCGAGGGGCGGGCGGGGGGTGCCCGAGCGCACCGGGCGGCGGCGGGGCCGTTCCCGGGGCTCGGGGGGCCGGCGGCGGCTGGTGCCAAGCCCCTGCCAGAACCTCTTTTGTGCGCCCGCAGCCAATCAAGGCCGCTGACGACACACTTCTCTTGGGGTATAAAACCCCGGGGCCGCCGCTGCCGCCGCTTTTTTTCATCCCCCCCCCCCCTTCGGCCCCCCCCGGGGCTTCCCCGCCCCCGCCGCCGTTACCGCCTTCCCCCCCCTTGCGCGCTGCGGTGGAAGCGGGGCGGGGGGGCGGCCCGGTGGGGAAGGGTTTGCTTCTTTTATTTTTATTTATTTTATTTTTTAATTAATTTTTTTTTTAATCCCCTCCCTCTTGTTTCTCTTTTTTTTTTTTTGTTTTTTTTTTTTTTTTCTCTTTTTGTTTTGTGGGGGTTTGTTTGTTTTTTTTTCCACCCCCTCACCCCCCCCTGCAGCCCCCGATGTATTTTTTGCTGTCCCCCCCCGGCATGGCCCCGCTGTGGTGGCTGCTGGGCTCGCTGGTGGCCGCGGTGGCGGGGGGGGGGTCGGTGGAGCAGCCCCCCCGCCTCCGAGCCCGCCTGCCCCGTGTGCCTGTGGCGGCGGCAGAGCAAAGAGCTGCGCCTGGAGAGCATCAAGTCGCAGATCCTGAGCAAGCTGCGGCTGAAGGAAGCGCCCAACATCACCCGGGAGGTGGTGAAGCAGCTGCTGCCCAAGGCCCCCCCGCTCCAGCAGCTCCTGGACCTCCACGACTTCCAGGGGGACTCGCTGCAGCACGACGAGTACCTGGAGGAGGACGAGTACCACGCCACCACCGAGACCGTCATCAGCATGGCCCAGGAAAGTCAGTGCCGCCCTTTGTTCCGCTGCAAACTTCGCCGCAGGACTCCCCCCCACCCCCCCTCCCCGCCACCGGCCCCCCAGCCCCGGCCCGGACCCCCCCGCTCCGCTCGGCTCCGCTCCCGCTCCCCCGCTGCCCTCCCCGCTACTCGGCACCGCTGTCCCCGCGGGGCGCCCCGTCCTCGCCGAGCCCCCCCCGCGCTCCCCGAGTCCTCTCGGGGGTCCCTGAGTCCCTCCCGGGGCTCCCTGAGTCCCTCCCGGGGCTCCCCGAGTCCTCTCGGGGGTCCCTGAGCCTCCCCCGGGGGTCCCTGAGTCCCTCCCGGGGGTCCCTGAGTCCCTCCCGGGGGTCCCTGAGCCTCTCCCGGGGGTCCCTGAGCCTCCCCCGGGGGTCCCTGAGCCTCCCCCGGGGCTCCCCGAGTCCTCTCGGGGGTCCCTGAGTCCCTCCCGGGGGTCCCTGAGTCCCTCCCGGGGCTCCCCGAGCCCCCTCCGAGCCCTTCAGGTCCCCCCCGGTCCGTGCGGGTCCCGCGGGGCCGCTTCGTGTGCGCGGGGACGGGGACAAGGAGGGGACAAGGAGGGGACAGCGCCGGGAGCTGGGAGAGGGCACCGGGACTGGGAGAGGGGCCCCGTGCTGGGGAGCGGAGCCGGCACTGGGGACTGGGGACAGGCTGGTGGCACCCGGGAGGTGGCACTGGGGACTGGGGACAGGCTGGTGGCACCCGGGAGGTGGCACTGGGGACTGGGGACAGGCTGGTGACACCGGGGAGGTGGCACTGGGGAATGGGGACAGGCTGGTGACACCGGGGAGGTGGCACTGGGGACTGGGGACAGGCTGGTGGCACCCGGGGAGGTGGCACTGGGGACTGGGGACAGGCTGGTGACACTGTGGAGGTGGCACTGGGGACTGGGAGCTGGGACTGAAACCTCAGGTCTGGGATCTGGTCCTGAGCACTGGGAGTTGGTACCGGGGACAGGAGACTGGGAGGTGGCACTGGGGACTGGGAACTGGGACTGGGGACTGGGAACTGGGACTGGGGACTGGGACTGGGACTGGGGACCAGGAGCTGGGACTGTGAACTGGGGACAGAGGACTGGGAACTGGGACTGGGAACTGGGAGCTGGTCCTGAGTGCTGGGAGTTGTTACTGGGAGCTGGGACTGGGAGCTGGGACTGGGGACTGGGAGCTGGCACAGAGCGCTGGGACTGGGGACTGGGTGCTGACACTGGGGACTGGGACTGGAGCTGGGACCAGGAACTGGGAACTGAGACTGGGAACTTGGACTGGGAGGACACTGGGGACTGGGACTGAGAGTGGGACAGGGGCTGGGAACTGGGACTGGGGACTGGAGGACTTTGGAGAGTGGAGACTGGGACTGGGACTGAAATTGGGACTGGGAACTGAGACAGGGACTGGGAACTGAGACAGGGCACTGGGGACTGGGACTGGGGACTGGGAACTGGGAACTGGGACTGGGATTAGGATCTGGGACTGGGGACTGAGACAGGACACTGGGAACTGGGACTGGGGACTGGGAGGACATTGGAGAGTGGGGACTGGGACTGGGACTGAGACTGGGACTGGAACTGAGACTGGGAACTGGGATTAGGATCAGGACTGGGATCTGGGACTGGGAACTGAAACAGGGCACTGGGGGACTGGGACTGGGACTGAGGACAGACACTGGGACTGGGAACTGGGAGGACACTCTCCAGTGTCCTCCCAGTCTGGGGACTGGGCACTGAGACTGGGGACTGAGACTGGGAGCTGGGACTGGGAACTGAGAAAGGGCACTGGGAACTGGGAGCTCAGACTGGAACTGGGACTGGGAACTGGGACTGGAACTGGGACTGGGAACTGGGGACTGGGGACTGGGGACTGGGGACTGGGAACTGGGGACTGGGAACCGGGACTGGAACTGGGACTGGGAACTGGGGACTGGGAACTGGGAACTGGGAGCTGAGAGTGGAAGCAGGGACTGGAATCTGGGGTGCAAGGACTGGGACTGGGAACTGGGAGCAGGGACTGGAACTGGGACTGGGAGCAGGGACTGGGAGTTGGCAGCAGGGACCGGGAGCGGTCACTGGGAGCTGGCACTGGGGACCTGGGCAGTGTCACCGGGCACTGGGAGCAAACTGGGGACACGGGGCAGGTGGCACGGTGACCTGGGTGACAGCAGGGTGACAATAGGCAGCAGGGTGACAGCAAGGTGACAAACAGGGTGGCAGTAAAGTGACAAACAGGCTGACAAACAGGGTGATACCAGGGTGACAAACAGGGTGACAGCAGGGTGACAAACAGGGTAGCAGGGTGACACCAGGGTGACATCAGGGTCACACTGGGGTGACAGCAGGGTGACGGCGAGGCCACAGCAGGGTGACAGCAGGGTGACAAACAGGGTGACGGTGACAAACAGGGTGACGGTGACAGCAGGGTGGCAGCAGGGTGACAATACGGTGAGGGTGACAGCAGGGTGACAAACAGGGTGATGGTGACAGCAGGGTGATGGTGACAGCAGGGTGGCAGCAGGGTGATGGTGACAAACACGGTGACGGTGACAGCAGGGTGGCAGCAGGGTGATGGTGACAAACAGGGTGACGGTGACAAACAGGGTGACGGTGACAGCAGGGTGACAAACAGGGTGGCAGCAGGGTGACAAACAAGGTGACGGTGACAAACAGGGTGACGGTGACAGCAGGGTGACAAACACGGTGACGGTGACAGCAGGGTGACAAACAGGGTGATGGTGACAAACAGGGTGACGGTGACAGCAGGGTGACAAACACGGTGACGGTGACAAACACGGTGACAGCAGGGTGACAAACAGGGTGGCAGCAGGGTGACGGTGGCAGCAGGGTGACGGTGACAAACAGGGTGACGGTGGCAGCAGGGTGACAAACAGGGTGACGGTGACAAACAGGGTGAGGGTGACAAACACGGTGACGGTGACAGCAGGGTGGCAGCAGGGTGATGGTGACAAACACAGTGACGGTGACAAACAGGGTGGCAGCAGGGCCCTGCTGGGGCCAGGCCAGCGCAGTCCCGGGAGGGGACGCGGGGACTCGGCCGCGCCGGGCTCGGCCCCGCCCCCTCCGTGCCTCAGTTTCCCCCGGGATTTCTCCACCTGCTCCCGGCGGGGGGGGCAGCGGAAGGGAGGGAGGTGTGAGGCGCTGCCGCCCCCTCCCCGAATTTCCTTCCCAGGCATTAAATGCACTCGGGCGGCTTTGAAATTTTATTACCCATAAAATTGACGACACGCTGGGGTTTTCCTCCCCGGGCCTCGGGGCCCCCCCCTCCCCGCCCCTTTGGCAGCTCGGGGGCCCCCCAAAATAAAGGACAGAGCCCCCTCCCCTCCCTCCGGGGTCCCACGGGCCCGATGCGCCCCGGGAAGGGGAGGGAAATGAGGGGGGGGCTTCTCTCCGTTATTATTTTGATTTTTTTTCCTTTTTTTTTTTCCCCCCCCCCCCGTCTCCGCTCCTCGCCCCCCCCCCGGGCAATTGTGGGGTTTTTATGGTTCCTGAACAGAAGGAGGGGAAGGCGCTTTATGGGCCATAAAGCTCTCGGGTTCCCCAGCCCCTCCCGGCGCCGCGAGGGTTAATTGGCTCCGAACCCCCCCCCCCCCCCACCTCCCCGAGGGGCCACCCGTGACCCCCGCGACCCCCGGGGTGGGGGGGGAGCTTAATGAGGCCCCTTTGGGGGGGGGGGACCCGGGGGAGCCGCTCAAGGTCAGCGAGACACAGGGACAGCGACACAGGGACAGAGGGACGGACATGGGGACACAGGGACAGCGACACAAGGACAGAGGGACGGACACAGGGACGGACGTGGGGACAGTGACACAAGGACAGAGGGACGGATGTGGGGACACGGGGACAGCGACACAAGGACAGAGGGATGGACATGGGGACAGTGACACAAGGAGAGAGGGACGGACATGGGGACAGTGACACAAGGACAGAGGGACAGACGTGGGGACAGATGAGGGGACAGCGACACAAGGACAGAGGGGACACAGGGATGGATGTGGGGACAGCGACACAAGGACAGAGGGACAGACGCAGGGACACAGGGACAGACACAGGGACACGGGGACAGACGCAGGGACAGCGACACAAGGACACAGGGACAGACGCGGGGACACAGGGACAGACACAGGGACACGGGGACGGACGCGGGGACAGCGACACAAGGACAGAAGGACACAGGGACAGACACGGGGACACGGGGACAGACGCAGGGACAGCGACACAAGGACAGAAGGACACGGGGACAGACGCGGGGACACAGGGATGGACGCAGGGACACAGGGACAGATGCGGGGACAGCGACACAAGGACAGAAGGACACAGGGACAGACGCAGGGACACAGGGACAGACGTGGGACACAAGGACGGACGCAGGGACAGCGACACAAGGACAGAGGGATGGACGCGGGGACACAGGGACGGACACAAGGACACAGGGATGGACACAAGGACAGACACGGGGACAGCGACACAGGGACACAGGGACAGACATGGGGACACGGGGACAGACGCAGGGACAGCGACACAAGGACAGAAGGACACGGGGACAGACGCGGGGACACAGGGACAGATGCAGGGACACAGGGACAGACATGGGGACACAGGGACACACGCAGGGACACAGGGACAGATGCAGGGACACGGGGGACAGACGCAGGGACAGCGACACAAGGACACAGGGACAGACACGGGGACACAGGGACAGATGCAGGACACAGGGACGGACACAGGGACAGACGCAGGGACACGGGACAGATGCGGGGACAGTGACACAAGGACACAGGGACAGACACGGGGACACGGGGACAGACGCAGGGACACAGGGACAGACACAGGGACACGGGGACAGACGCGGGGACACAGGTACACACGCAGGGACACGGGGACAGACGCGGGGACAGCGACACAAGGACACAAGGACAGACACGGGGACACAGGGACAGACGTGGGGACACAGGGACGGACACAGGGACACAGGGACGGACGCGGGGACACAGGGACGGACACAAGGACACAGGGACACACGCAGGGACACAGGGACAGAAGGACACGGGGACAGACGCGGGGGACAGCGACACAAGGACAGAAGGACACGGGGACAGACGCAGGGACACGGGGACAGACACAGGGACACGGGGACAGACGCGGGGGACAGCACCGAGCACCTCGTGCGGGGGTCGGGGGGCCCCGAATGCGGGAACAAAGAGCGGGGGGGGCTCCGGGGGCCGCCCCCGCCCCGCGCGGGCCCAGCTGTGCCCGGTGTCCCGGTAACCTTTATCCTTTATCCCCCGTTGCCACGGAGACCGAGGAGCATCCCGGCACCGCCCCCCGCCCCCGCCCGACCCCCCCGGGATGGGCAGCGGGACCCCCGGGACAGAGGGGTCACCAAAGAGGGGCCTTGGGGGCTCTGGAGCCCCCGGATCCCCACATGGAGACCCCAAAAATTCCCACATGGAGACCCCAAAAATTCCCACATGGAGACCCCCCAAATTCCCACCTGGAGCCCCCAAATCCCCACCTGGAGACCCCAAAAATCCCACATGGAACCCCCCTAAATTCCCACCTGGAGCCCCCCCCAAATTCCCACCTGAAGACCCCAAAAATCCCCACCTGGACCCCCCCAAATCCCCACTGCGAGACCCCAGAAATTCCCACCTGGAACCCCCCCAAATTCCCACCTGGAACCCCCCCAAATTCCCACCTGGAACCCCCCCCAAATCCCCACCTGGAGACCCCAAAAATCCCCACCTGGAGACCCCAAATCCCCACCTGGAGACCCCAAAAATTCCCACATGGAGACCCCAAAAATTCCCACCTGGAGCCTCCCCCAAATCCCCACCTGGAGACCCCAAAAATCCCCCACCTGGAACAACCCCCAAATTCCCCACCTGGAGCCCCCAAAACCCCACCTGGAACCCCCCCAAATCCCCACTGCGAGACCCCAGAAATTCCCACCTGGAACCCCCCCAAATTCCCACCTGGAGACCCCAAAAATCCCCATCTGGAGCCCCCAGATTCCCACCTGGAGACCCCAAATCCCCACCTGGAACCCCCCCAAATCCCACCCGGAGCCCCCAAATCCCCACCTGAACTCCCCAAATCCCCACCTGGAACCCCCCCAAATCCCCACTGCGAGACCCCAAAAATCCCCACCCGGAGCCCCCAAATCCTCACCTGGAACCCCCAAATCCCCACCTGGAACCCCCCCCAAATCCTCACCTGAAACCCCCAAATCCCCACCTGAACCCCCCAAATCCTCACCTGGAGACCCCAAAAATCCCCACCTGGAGCCCCCAGATCCCCACCTGGAGCCCCCCCAAATCCCCGCCTAGAACCCCCAAATCCTCACCTGAACCCCCCAAATCCCCACCTGGAACCCCCCAGGTCCCCCCAGCACCCACCGGCCCCGCACCCCCGGCTGTCAAACCCCCCCCGTCCCCCCAGCCCCATTTTGGGGGTTCCCACCGCCTCCCCAGCCCCATTTTGGGGGTCCCCGCCGCCCCCCCCTGCCCCATTTGCGACATTCCCGGTGTCGCGACCCCCGCGGGGCCGGCGCACAAATGGCCCCGGCTGCAGCTGGGCGCGATTAAACCTGACCGGGGCCGGGGGGGGGCAAATTCCCACCTCAATTCGACCCAGATGTGGGGCCGGGCCTGGGGGGGGACCCCCGGAGCCGGGGGATGCTCGGGGGGACCCCCGGAGTGGGGCTGGGGGTGCCCGGAGGGCGGTTTGGGGGTCCCAGAGAGGGGTTCAGGGGTCCTGGTGCAGGTCTGGGGGATCCCCAAGAGGCTCTCGGGTCCCAGGATGCGGCTCGGGGGTCTCGGGGGTCCCAGAGAGGGTTCAGGGGGGGTCCTGGAGTGGTGCTGGGGGGTCCTAGAGGGGGTCTTGGGTCTCAGAGTGTGGCTCAAGGGTCCCAGAGTGCGGTTTGGGGGTCCCAGAGTGAGGTTTGGGGGTCCCAGAGTGCGGTTTGGGGGTCCCAGAGTGCGGTTTGGGGGTCCTAGAGAGGGGTTCAGGGGTCCCATCATGGGGCTCCGGGGTCCTGGTGCAGGTCTGGGGGATCCCAGGAGGGTCTTGAGTGCAGCTCGGGGGTCCCAGAAAGGGGCTCAGGGATCCTGGAGAGGGTCTGGGGGATCCCCGAGTGGGTCTGGGGGATCCCTGAGAGGCTCTGCGGGATCCCCGAGTGAGGATCGGGGGTCCCAGAGAGGGGTCAGGGATCCTGGAGTGGGTCTGGGGGATCCTGGAGAGGGTCTGGGGGATCCCTGAGTGGGTCTGGGGATCTCTGAGTGGGTCTGGGGATCCTGGAGTGGGTCTCAGGTCTCAGTGCGGGGCCAGGGGGGATCCCAGAGAGGGGCTCGGGGGTCCTGGAGTGGCTCTGGGGGATCCCTGAGTGGCTCTGGGGGATCCCTGAGTGAGGATTGGGGATCCCAGAGAGGGGGTCAGGGATCCTGGAGTGGCTCTGGGGGATCCCTGAGAGGGTCTGGGGGATCCCTGAGAGGGTCTCGAGTCCCTGAGTGAGGATTGGGGGTCCCAGAGAGGGGCTCGGGGGTCCCAGAGTGGCTCTGGGGGGTCTCTGGTCCCGGTGCAGGTCTGGGGAATGCCCAGGAGGGGCTTCAGGGACCCCCGGTCTGGGTCTGAGGGATCCCTGAGAGGCTCTGGGGTCCCGGTGTGGGGTTGGGGTGACCCCACAGCGAGTCCCGCCTGTTCCAGCGCACACTTTGGGGGCTCCCAACCCCATCCCTGAACCCACAGCGAGTCCCACCTGTCCCAGTGCACGGTTTGTGGGGTCCCACCAGGGGTCCCAACCCCATCCCTGACCCCACAGTGAGTCCCGGCTCTCCTGGTGCACACTTTGGGGGCTCCCAAGCCCATCCCTGACCTCTCCTTGAGTCCCACCTGTCCCAGTGCACACTTTGGGAATTCCCAATCCCACCCTGACCCCTTCCTCTCCCTCCTGACCCCACAGTGAGTCCCACCTGTCCCGGTGCACGGTTTGGGGGTTCCCAACCCCATCCCTGACCCCTCCTGACCCCACAGCGAGTCCTGCCTGTCCCAATGTGTGGTTTGGGAGTTTCCAATCCCATTCCTGACCCCCTCCTCTCCTTCCTCAAGTCCCACCTGTCCCCGGTGCACGGATTGGGAGTTCCCAAGCCCACCCCTGACCCCTTCCTCTCCCTCCTGACCCCACAGTGAGTCCCGCCTGTCCCAGTGCACACTTTGGGGGCTCCCAATCCCATCCCTGACCCCTCCTCAAGTCCCACCTGTCCCAGTGCGCACTTTGGGAGTTCCCAATCCCACCCCTGACCCTTCCTCTCCCTCCTCAAGTCCACCTGTCCCAGAGCACGGTTTGGGAGTTTCCAATCCCATCCCTGACCCCCTCCTCTCCTTCCTCGAGTCCCACCTGTCCCGGTGCGCGGTTTGGGGCTCCCAAGTCCATCCCTGACCCCTCCTCAAGTCCCACCTGTCCCGGTGTGCAGTTTGGGAGTTCCCAAGCCCATCCCTGACCCCACAGCGAGTCCTGCCTGTCCCAATGTGTGGTTTGGGGGCTTCCAAGCCCACCCCTGACCCCACAGTGAATCCCACCTGTCCCAGTGCATGGTTTGGGAGTTCCCAATCCCATCCCTGACCCCCTCCTCTCCCTCCTCAAGTCCCACCTGTCCCGGTGCACACTTTGGGAGTTCCCAATCCCACCCCTGACCCCTTCCTCTCCCTCCTGACCCCGCAGCCGACCCGGTGGTGCAGATCGAGGGCAACCCGCACTGCTGCTTCTTCAACTTCAGCCCCAAGATCATGTTCACCAAGGTGGTGAAGGCGCAGCTCTGGGTGTACCTGCGGCCGGTGCAGCACACGTCCACCGTGTACCTGCAGATCCTGCGCCTCAAGCCCGTCACGGACGAGGGCAGCCGCCACATCCGCATCCGCTCGCTCAAGATCGAGCTCAACTCGCGCGCCGGGCCACTGGCAGAGCATCGACTTCAAGCACGTCCTGCAGAACTGGTTCAAGCAGCCCCACAACAATTGGGGCATCGAGATCAACGCCTTCGACCCCAACGGCAACGACCTGGCGGTCACCTCGCTGGGACCCGGCGCCGAGGGGCTGGTGGGTGGCACTGTCCCCAAATTGGGGTGTCCCCAGAGGGGCTGGTGGGTGGCACTGTCCCCAAATTTGGGTGTCCCCAAAGGGGCTGGTGGGTGGGACTGTCCCCAAATTTGGGTGTCCCCAAAGGGGCTGCTGGGTGGCACTGCCAGGGGAAACGGGGTGTTCCCAAAGGGGCTGGTGGGTGGCACTGCCAGGGGACACGAGGTGTCCCCAGAGGGGCACTGTATGGGTGGCACTGTCCCCAGATTTGAGGTGTCCCCATAGGGGCTGGTGGGTGGCACTGCCAGGGGGAACAGGGGTGTCCCCAGAGGGGCACTGTATGGGTGGCACTGCCCCCAGATTTGGGGTGTCCCCAAAGGGGCTGGTGGGGTGGCACTGTCCTCAAATTTGGGTATCCCCAAAGGGGCTGGTGGGTGGCACTGTCCCCAAATTTGGGTGTCCCCAAAGGGGCTGGTGGGTGGCACTGTCCCCAAGTTTGGGTGTCCCCAAAGGGGCTGGTGGGTGGCACTGTCCTCAAATTGGGGTGTCCCCAAAGGGGCTGGTGGGTGGCACTGGCAGAGGAAACGGGGTGTCCCCAAAGGGGCACTGTATGGGTGGCACTGTCCCCAAATTTGGGTGTCCCCAAAGGGGCTGGTGGGTGGCACTGTCCCCAAATTGGGGTGTCCCCAGAGGGGCTGGTGGGTGGCACTGTCCCCAAATTTGGGTGTCCCCAAAGGGGCTGGTGGGTGGCACTGTCCCCAGATTTGAGGTGTCCCCAAAGGGGCTGGTGGGTGGCATTGCCAGGGGGGCACAGGGTGTCCCCAAAGGGGCACTGGATGGGTGGCACTGTCCCCAAATTTGGGTGTCCCCAAAGGGGCTGGTGGGTGGCACTGGCAGAGGAATTGGGTGTCCCCAAAGGGGCACTGGATGGGTGGCACTGCCCCCAGATTTGGGGTGTCCCCAAAGGGGCTGGTGGGTGGCACTGCCAGGGGGAACAGGGTGTTCCCAAAGGGGCTGGTGGGTGGCACTGTCCCCAGATTTGGGTGGCCCCAAAGGGGCTGGTGGGTGGCACTGTCCCCAAATTTGGGTGTCCCCAAAGGGGCTGGTGGGTGGCACTGCCAGGGGGAAATGGGGAGTTCCCCCCCCCAAAGGGTGGCACTGTCCCCAGATTGGGGTGTCCCCAAAGGGGCTGGTGGGTGGCATTGCCCCCAGATTTGGGTGTCCCCAAAGGGGCTGGTGGGTGGCACTGCCCCAGATTTGGGTGTCCCCAAAGGGGCTGGTGGGTGGCACTGCCAGGGACACGGGGTGTCCCCAGGGGCGCACTGGATGGGTGCATTGCCAGGGGGGCACAGGGTGTCCCCAAAGGGGCACTGTATGGGTGGCACTGTCCCCAGATTTGGGGTGTCCCCAAAGGGGCTGGTGGGTGGCATTGCCAGGGGGAACAGGGTGTCCCCAAAGGGGCTGGTGGGTGGCACTGTCCCCAGATTTGGGTGTCCCCAAAGGGGCTGGTGGGTGGCATTGCCCCCAGATTTGGGTGTCCCCAAAGGGGCTGGTGGGTGTCACTGTCCCCAAATTGGGGTGTCCCCAAAGGGGCTGGTGGGTGGCACTGCCCCCAGATTTGGGGTGTCCCCAAAGGGGCTGGTGGGTGGCACTGGCAGGGGGTCTCAGGGTTGTCCCCACAGGGGCACTGGATGGGTGGCACTGTCCCCAGATTTGAGGTGTCCCCAGAGGATTGGGGGGTGGCACTGCCCAGGGGGACACAGGGGGGTTTGGGGTGTCCCCAGAGGGGTGGTGGCAGTTTGGGACCGATGATCACAGGCTGTGGGGACAGTGACAGTCCTGCGGGGCTGGGGACACCTCGACAGACTGATGGCAGCTCCATGGCGCTGCTGGCAGCTCTGTGGGGGACACTGCCACCTCCACGGGGCTGCTGGCAGCTCTGTGGGGACACTGCCACCTCCACGGGGCTGGTGGCAGCTCTGTGGGGACACTGCCACCTCCACGGGGCTGCTGGCAGCTCTGTGGGGACACTGCCACCTCCACGGCGCTGGGTGGCAGCTCTGTGGGGACACTGCCACCTCCACGGGGCTGGTGGCACCTCCAGGCAAAGCGCAGCCAGGCCGGGTGGAGCAGCGTGCGGCGGGGTTGCTGTGTCACCATTGTCCTCACCATTGTCCCCTGTGTCCCCTCACCACTGTCCTGTATCCTCACCGCCGTCCCCTCATCGCTGTCCCCTGTGTCCCCTCATGTCCTGTCCCCTCACCGCTGTCCCTGTCCCTCAATATTGTCCCCTCACCGCTGTCCCCTCACATCTGTGTCCTCACCCCTGTCCCTGTCCCCTCACTGCTGTCCCCTCCCTGTTGTCCCTGTGTCCCCTCCTGGCTGTCCCTGTCCCCTCACCCCTGTCCTCTGTGTCCCTTCCTGGCTGTCCTTGTCCCCTCCTGGCTGTCCCTGTCCCCTCCCTGCTGTCCCCATGTCCCCTCACATCTGTCCCCTCACCCCTGTCCATGTCCTCTCACGTCTGTCCCCTCCTGGCTGTTCCCCCGTCCCCTCCTGGCCATCGCTCTCCCCTCCCCGCTGTCCATGTCCCCTCCTGGCTCTCCCTGTCCCCTCACCCCTGTCCCCTCCCTGCTGTCCCCATGTCCCCTCACTCTTGTCCCCTCCTCACTGTCCCATGTCCCCTCACTTGTGTCTCCTCCTGGCTGTCCATGTCCCCTCGCTCTGTCCCTGTCCCCTCCTCGCTCTGTCCATGTCCCCTCACCCCTGTCCATGTCCCCTCCTCGCTGTCCCCTCACCCCTGTATGTGTCCCCTCCTGGCTGTCCCTGTCCCCTCACCCCTGTCCATGTCCCCTCCTCGCTCTCCCCCTCCTGACTGTCCTTGTCCCCTCACCCCTGTCTGTGTCCCCTCGCTCTGTCCCTATCCCCTCCTCGCTGTCCCCTCACTCTGTCCGTGTCCCCTCCTGGCTCTGTCCCTGTCCCCTCCCCACTGTCCCCTCGCCCCTGTCCCTGTCCCCTCCTGGCTCTGTCCCTATCCCCTCCTTGCTGTCCCCTCGCCCTGTCCCTGTCCCCCTCCCGGCTGTGTCCCTGTCCCCTCCTGGCTGCCCCTGTCCCCTCCTGGCTCTGTCCCCTGTCCCCTCCCGGCTGTGTCCCTGTCCCCTCGCCCCCTGTCCCTGTCCCCTCCTCACTCTGTCCCTGTCCCCTCGCTCTGTCCCTGTCCCCTCGCTCTGTCCCTGTCCCCTCCTGGCTCTGTCCCTATCCCCTCCTCGCTGTCCCTCGCTCTGTCCCTGTCCCTCACCCCTGTCCCTGTCCCTCCTCGCTGTCCCCTCGCTCTGTCCCTATCCCCTCCCCGCTGTCCCCTCATCCCTGTCCCCTCCTGGCTCTGTCCCCTCACCCCTGTCCCCGCTGTCCCCTCCCGTCTGTGTCCCTGTCCCCCAGCACCCCTTCATGGAGCTGCGCGTCCTGGAGAACAACAAGCGCTCCCGGCGGAACCTGGGGCTGGACTGCGACGAGCACTCCACGGAGTCGCGCTGCTGCCGCTACCCGCTCACCGTGGACTTCGAGGCCTTCGGCTGGGACTGGATCATCGCCCCCAAGCGCTACAAGGCCAACTACTGCTCGGGCCAGTGCGAGTACATGTTCATGCAGAAGTACCCGCACACGCACCTGGTGCAGCAGGCGAACCCGCGCGGCTCGGCCGGGCCCTGCTGCACGCCCACCAAGATGTCCCCCATCAACATGCTCTACTTCAACGACAAGCAGCAGATCATCTACGGCAAGATCCCCGGCATGGTGGTGGATCGCTGCGGCTGCTCCTAGAGCCGCCCTGCCTCCCTCCTGCCCCGCCTGCCTCTCCCCCATCCCAGCGAGCCCCCGCTGCCCCCGCGGGCTCCTCAGCATTTTTTCCGCTCTTTTTTCTTTTTTTGTTTTTTTCTTTTTTTTTTTGCTTTTTTTTTTTTGCTTTTTTTTGGTGTTTTTTTGTTGTTTTTTGTTGTTGGTTCGGGGCGGGGCGGGAAGCGCAAAGTGACAAAGGCCAAGCGTTGAAATCGGTTTGGATGGTGGAGGAGAGAGAAGGAGAAGGAGGAGGTGGAGGAGGAGGAGGAGGAGGAGGAGGAGGAGGAGGAGAATCGCACGGAGCAGCGACCCCGCGATCCCACGCGCATTGTGCAATAAAAGCGACCGGACGGAGAAGGGAAACGGGGGCGGGGGGGACCCCCAGGCCGCGGTGGCGACACGGGGACACCGCGGGACACGGCCCCAGCGGGGAGAGCGGCAGCACGACGAGGAGGAGGACGAGGAGGAGGAGGAGGACGAGGAGGAGGAAGAGCGAGCGCACCCCGCGTCTCCCCGTGCTCCTGGAGCAGCGCTGGGGACACCGCTGGTGACACCGCCGGTGACACCGAAGGGGGCTGACCCCGGACCTCGCTGCGGCCCCGCGGACCCCCGGCACCGGGAGGAATCCGCCTCCCTTCTTTAATTTATTTATTTATTAATCGCCCTCCCGGCCGGCGCTCGCCCCGCTCCTTCCCCTCGCAGCCGGGCCCGGCTCCGGAGGCGCCGCTCCAGCCCCGGAGAGCCCCGGGGAGCCCCGGGCAAGGGCGGCCGGAGGGGCCGGAGCCTCGGGCCGGGCTTTGCCTCCAGCCCTGGCACCCGGCCCCGGGGCCGCGCGGCTCCGCCGGGGGGTGAGGGCGGCCCGGGGGTCACCCGGAGGCGACACCAGAATTGTTGGGAGGCTCCGGCTGGGGCCGAAATTCCGCTTACGCCGCACATTCGCCTCGCGCTGCCCTCGGAGGGTTTTGCTTTTTTTTAGGGTTTTTTTTGTTTTTTTTTTTTTGTTTTTTTGGTGTTTTTTTTTTTGTTTTTCTTTTCCTGTTGTTTGTGTTTGTTTCACGTGAGAACGAAACCCCCCCCCCCCAAACCTCCCCACCGCGGCTCCCGCGCTTCCCTCCGGGCCCCGAGCGCTGCGGCCGCGGCCGGAGGAGGCTCCGGGAATGCGGAGAAGCCCCCGCAGCCCCCGCGGCCCCCCCAGCACTTAAACCCGGGAGCCGCAGCGAGGGGGACGCGGCCCCGGCCCGGGGGGCTCCGGCCGGCCCCGCAGCCGCGCAGCACTTAGGGGGACACCGGGGCCACTCGGGCTCTTTAGCACTTGTCGCCGGCTCCGCCACAGCCCCGCCGAGCCCCGCAGCGCTCACGGGGCCCAGGGACCCCCCCAAACCCATCCCCGGACCCCCCCATCCTGGCGCCGCAGCACTTAAGGGGCCCCTCGTGCCAGGCCGGTGTCACCGGCCGGTGCCACCGCCCGGTGTCACCGCCCGGTGTCACCGCCCGGGGATGGCACCGCCCGGGGATGGCACCGCCCGGGGATGGCACCGCCCTGGTGGCGCCGGCGAGGGCCGGGGCGAGGGGACGGGATGGGGACAGCCAGGAAGGGGAGGGGGAGAGGTCCCGCAGCCCCCCCTGAGCCCCCAAAAAGGGGCACGGCCTGGCCTGGTGGCCACAAAGCCTCTCGTGGGGGTCACAACCCCTTGTGGTGGTCACCAGCCCATCGTGGGGACCTCTAGACCCTCGTGGGGACCCCCAGCCCCTCATGGTGGTCACAGCCCCTCACGGGGACCTCCAGGCCCTCATGGTGGTCCCCAGACCCTCATAGGGACCTCCAGCCCCTCATGGGGACCACCAAACCCTCGTGGGCACCATCAGCTCCTCGTGGTGGTCACCAAACCCTCATGGTGGTCCCCAGGCCCTCATGGTGGTCCCCAGGCCCTCATAGGGACCTCCAGACCCTCCTGGGGACCTCCAGCCCCTCATGGTGGTCAGAGCCCCTCATGGTGGTCACCAAACCCTCATGGGGACCTCCAGGCCCTCATGGGGGTCACCAGCCCCTCATGGGGACCACCAAACCCTCGTGGGCACCACCAGACCCTCATGGGGACCACCAGACCCTCGTGGGCACCTCCAGGGCCCTCATGGTGGTCACAGCCCCTCACGGGGACCTCCAGGCCCTCATGGGGACCTCCAGCCCTTCGTGGTGGTCACCAAACCCTCATGGTGGTCACCAGCCCATCGTGGGCACCTCCAGGCCCTCATGGGACCACCAGCATCTCGTGGGGACCTCCAGACCCTCGTGGTGGTCACCAAACCCTCGTGGGGACCTCCAGGCCCTCATGATGGTCAGAGCCCCTCATAGTGGTCACCAAACCCTCAAGGTGGTCACCAAACCTCGTGGGGACCTCCAGACCCTCATGGGACCTCCAGCCCCTCGTGGGCACCACCAGCCCCTCATGGTGGTCACCAGACCCTCGTGGGGACCCCCAGCCCCTCCTGGTGGTCCCCAAACCCTCGTGAGGACCCCCCAGCCCCTCGTGGTGGCCAGGCCGGGGTCCGGGGTCGGGGTCCCCCCGTCGGTGCCTGGGGGGCTCCGGGGCTGGCAGGGGACGGGGGACACCACACCAGGAAAAGGTCCAGAACCGCTGGGAGGGGACTGGGAGGGACTGGGAGGAACTGGGAGGGACTGGGAGGGACTGGGAGGAACTGGGAGGGACTGGGAGGGACTGGACGGACTGGGAGGGACTGGGAGGGGCCCTGGAGCCCCAAACCCGCGGGGCCGCACCCCAAGAACCCCGCAAGGCCCCGGGGCTGCCACGGGCAGGGGGCACAAAGGGGACAGGATG